ATATATCTACCATCTTGTTTAAGCGCGGAACTTTCTTACGATTCGATCGTAAAGGAGGAGGAAAGAAGGGGGTATATAAAAGCGGATGGAATGCGGCAGGCTGTCGTCAATTTTAATGACGTCGTTCTTTTCCTGATCGGGTCTCGGTGTTTAATCGGAGCTGGGATAAAAAAAAAAAAAAGAAAAATGAGAAAAGAGAAAAAGGCTGAAAAGGAAAAAAGAAAAGGAAAAAAAGATAAGAGAAAGAACCGATAAGCCAAGCGAAACGTAGTTTGCGCGGCTTCCCGCTACTCCCACCGTGAATGAAATCCCCGAACAATTGTGATTGTTATTAATCTACCTTTCCTTTCTTTTTTTGTAGGGGTAGGGCGTCCCAAAAGTAAGTTGAATATCTCTCGAAGGTTGTTTATTACACGTCAATAATACTTTCTTTGTTCTTCGGCCGCTCTCACAACACCCCCAAGCCGAATCAAGACCGCGCTTTACTTTCGAATTTTTGGCGGGAACGAGACTCGCGATAAGACGATTTGAATTTCCCTCTATACGATAATTCTGGATAAATTTAAAAATTTTTTTTAGTAAAAATTCTGTTGAATTTTTCGTAATCTAATTTAATATTAATAATCTCTGGTCGAAAATTTACAAATGAACGAACGAAGGTGTTGCGTTGAATCTAAATTTTTCGAGGAAATATAGTTCGATTTAATTTAATTTCGAGATCGTTCGAATCATCGCGTTCGCGCGAATATTTATGAATTTTTAGGTTTGTTTAATCGGAGAATTCTAAGGGTTTTGACCGTGTTATACGGTTACAGTTGCATAAGAAGAGCGCGAAAACTAATATAACTTGTGTCGGCTGGACGATTGCCAAACGTTTCATAAATATGTGTACGATAACGTAATGCGGTTTATTCTTATACCAAAGCTGTGGTATTTCGTTCGAAATGTACCACGTTGCAAAGTGATGTAATTTAATTAACGGACAAACAATTCAGTGGAAAGATCCATTGTCAGTTGTTTATCCAAACGCCAAGTCTTGATTATTAATAATTCTTTCACGCAGATTTTCTATTTCTTGTTTCCAAAATATAAACGAAAATGGCAAAATAAAATTCGAAACTTCTTTCGTTTTTAAACGAATTCTCGTGTCACGCGACTCGATATATATTATGCAACAATTTGTTTGGAACAATCACGTGGAATTCAATAAATTTATCTATATATACTTGACAAGTCTCGATCCCGTCAAGAACAGATATGGTCTAATAATTCGTGGTCTAATGCTCAAAGCAAAACACCCCCGCCCCCAAGCTCATGTTTCTCTCTGTCTATCTATCTCTCTGTCTCTGTCTCTCTCTCTCTCTCTCTTTCTCGCACCCCTCTCTCGTGTTTTTTTCTTTTTGTCTCTCTCTCTATATATATATATATTCTTGATTAACGGCATTGTACATAATATCCGTGTGTCAATACATCCGTACAACCTATGTTATATACGTATATATGCATATATACGAATATATGTCCACACGAATCTGCTAAAAATTTTTATCCCGTTTATCTCTCTTTCTCTCTCTCTCTTTCTCTATATATATATATACATTATAAAAAATGTCAATATTACTTTTGATGTCGTGTCTCGTTTTTTTTGTCTCCTGCCGTTTTCAAGGAATCATATTTTTTTGATTTCTCTCTCACTTTGGCGAATCCCCCGTCTTCCTCTCTTTTTGTCACATTCTATGTTAATTATGTTCGCAATAATTTTGCGCCATAATCGATCGACCCGCAGCAATTTTGTCGCAGAAAGATCGGCCAAATTGTTCGAAGGTTCGCTGAATTTTCGTTTGATCGTTTTATTTCCCTTCGATTCGATGGATAGTTTCATTGATTGGTTTGTGCAACGAATGGCCGGTTTAATAACGGCGGTTTAAAACGGTTGTTTATAATAATTGTCAGGTATATTCCAGATGTATAAAACTGACCAGATGCAACGTTTGGAAACGTTCCCACTTGGTCATTTTCGTTTTTCAAATTTGTCACATTGTGCTCGAATCGTGTTCGTGTTGTCATTTGATTACTCGCGATTAGAATTTCGATTAATGATACAACTGATTAATTGGATCGTATATTATATCATCTCACGAAGATTCAGCAACCTTTCAAGGATGACACGATCAGTCGAGACTTCATTATTCATGTCAATTGGCCAGCTCCTCGGCTTTCAACTGTGGCTTTTCTTTTTTTCCAAGGCGTTGTGGTTAATAATATAATTGATAATAAGAATGACGACAGCGATGACGCTGATAACGGCGGCGACTGTGTGTGTTGCTTGCATTCGTGTTGGGAAAGAAGAAGAAAATGTCTGACGAGAAGAAGAGTGAGTGCTAGATTTTTGTGTGCTCCACAATTCTCTCCCCCAATTATCCCAATCATCGTCTACGGAAAATTATTTATATCATTGTATTGTTCAAATTATTTTAGAAAATTATCTAGAATTCTTTTTAAATCGTTATTTCTTATTCTTCTCTTCTATTCCTCTTTTTGTCAAACAAATTGAAATCATACGAGTTTATTATCGCGTATTATCAGTGAAGATCAGAGAAATTGATTTTCTAAATAATTTTAAATGAAATAATTGTACGCTGTTCAGATCTGTCGAAATTTTCTCTTCGAACCTGAGCTAAATCGCTTTTTGTAAAATTGCTTAATCGCTTCTTCTCGAGCGGCTTTAAATCACTTTTTTTTCCTTTTTTTTTTTTTTTTTTTTTTTTTTTTTT